TGTCGCTTTCTGTGTACAGTGCTTGTAACTTTACGAAGACTGGGCCAAATTTCTTATCATTTTGATGATTCCAGAACCTTGCAGTACACTCCAATACTTAAATGCTAGATGATCAACCTTTTCTGATCGATTCCACAACGTTTCTTTCACAATGCAATCGCATGACCTTAAGTGGTCTTTATCTTGAAGACCACACAAAGACAAAAGCAGTTATAAATCAACCACAGGTGCAAGATACAATATTTCAAGAATCATAACCATTTTTATTTCTCTTTTTATACCCCAAACAAAATGACTAGATGAAGAAAATGTTATATATATATTTATAATGTACACCTTTTCTAAATGAAGCAAAGGAAATTGATATAAAAACAATTCCTGCACATGTTCTTATTACATACATGATAGAAATTCAATTATACATATGCAAGGAAATTAGAGAATTTAAATAGATAGCTTTTTTTCAATTAAATCTTTCATATAGAGCAAATCATAATAGAAGATATTACTATGGTTAGTAAATTCTTTACAAAAAATGTGGTTAAATAAACCGTAAGGATTTGATACACAATCATTTACAAAGATTTCTAATTTCTTAAATCATTTTTTGGTACAAAAAATTCTCTCTCATAGATTTCTCGGTATTGCAACTCATTCACGACGAATGATCTTACAAGAAAAATGACAATAATTGAACAATAAAAAATACAAAGGCATATACAACAGCTACATACAAATAAGATCCAAAGTGGATTAGCCAAAATCTTTCTGGACCACTTCTGTGTATCTACATGTACATGTGGGAAAATTAGTAGAACTTCACTTTTCCTCCAAGAACTTCAGGAATATCTAATATAGAAAAAGACCTTGAGAAGAAAAAAGAAAATTACTAAATCCTTTATTTCTTCTGGCTAAGGATTTGATGACAGTGCCTTGTGCCTTTAATAGTTTCTCTTTGAAACAAAATAATATAAATAATCCACAAATGCAAGATCCACGAGTCCCGTATATTTGCATATTGAAGGGTAGGAATGGAGACAACAGACATCGATTTTAAAATCTCACGAGTTAAATAATGATTTTGATAGACGACTTTATAGACTTGTCTTCAGAAAATAATCTAACACATGCATTTACTGCAATAATCTTTTTTACTTACATGAGGCTTTCCGTAGTGTCCATACACCAATTGCTCTCATTTTTACGAAAGTAACGTCCGAGTACTTGCTCTTTTTCTTCTTCTTCTTACACAAAAATACAAGGGGATAAAGAAAATTGAGCATTTTTTATCTTCACTTCATGTAGAAAATAAAATACCAATTGTGGCTATAAATATAGATAATACCTTAAATCAAAGGATTTCAATTCCAACTCATTTTTTTTTCTTCATTAGTATGATTTTGATTCCAACTCAATTTTTTTATTCTTGAGATTTCAATTCCAACTCATTTTTTTTCTTCATTAGTATGATTTCAATTCCAACTCAATTTTTTTATTCTTGAGATTTCAATTCCAACTCATTTTTTTATTCTTGAGATTTCAATTCCAACTCATTTTTTTTCTTCATTAGTATGATTTCAATTCCAACTCATTTTTTTATTCTTGAGATTTCAATTCCAACTCATTTTTTTATTCTTGAGATTTCAATTCCAACTCATTTTTCCATTCGTATGATTTCAATTCCATTTCATTTTTTCATTCGTATGATTTCAATTCCAACTCAATTTTTTTTTCTTGAGATTTCAATTCCAACTCAATTTTTTCATACATATGATTACAATTCCAACTCAATTTTTTCATTCGTATGATTTCAATTCCAACTCAATTTTTTCATACATATGATTACAATTCCAACTCAATTTTTTCATTCGTATGATTTCAATTCCAACTCAATTTTGTAATAACTACAGTTACTGTGTGCTTAATACTAGTGACTGGGGGGCGTCGTGAAGCGCATATATAAGTCTTCACGTTAAACGCGAAATAAATATACAGTGTTATCATTATTATTGATTCCTACTGATAAGGGTTAAGTTTACTGCTTCTGATGCTCTTACTTAAACAACATTCTTCTTCAGGTGCAATTCTTGTCCCCTGATACATGTACTTTAAACTGACCGGTATTACTTTTTTAAAGCAGGACTTGTGTTTTTGGGGTACAATGTATAACTAAAGGCAAACACAGAGACAGAGGGACATGGAAGTTCTCATAACTATATACATAGAAAGTTAAATAATTCACAAGGCTAACAACCTTGAACTCTACTTGTCTTTGTACTGCATTTGGAAAATATATACTTGTACAATAACCTATGATTTCTGGATAACAACCGATGTTAGAAAACAGAGAAAGGGAAATAGATTGAAACATAATTAAAACATTAATGGAAAAGAATGTTAACTACATTATATGCATCTTAGTGTAACAAACATGGTACAGAATGTGACATTCCTTCCAAAAAGGATTATCAATATACTAAACATTATTTATTTTCTTTAGAAAAAATACAATCATACAAAAATTCAATCATCTTTTTTGCCACATTCTTCAAATGATGTCTGTAGTATATCATAAACAAGATCAAACATATAGATCGATTTATCCGAGAATTCTTCTCGCGAGTATGAATCATTTTCTTATCTACACGTCGTATATGCTGTCATACAAATTCACCGAGTTGAAAAAAGTTCTCAAATACATAACACAGGTAATATTAAGAAATTGATGGAAAGCCCTGGTTTTTCTTCATTCTCCTCCTTTATTTTTTACTGTTCATACTAGTTCATACATCCCACAACTTTCCAACACCACTATTTTTTCTTCTTTAGTAATGTTACAAAGAACTGGCTATAAAATATAAAGTATAATGCATCTCTTTATACAGCTAATAAGCAGCACCCCTGTGTAACAACATTGGCAAAAACCATCTGGGGGTCAATTTACATTTTAATATAAACAGAAATTGGCGTCCCAAGATTGCATCAAAACAAAGTGCTCTTGAAGAGTTTCAAGATGTTTTAGGCTTGCCAAAGCTTGCTAAATCTGCTGCTGATGATCCCTCTACTATCTAGACTGCCACTGGAGTGCATAGCCATTTTCTAAAACACAAAAATGGCCTTACCAGCACCACAGAGCCTCTACACACTTTAAGCGATAACCCAGTCACACCGATGAGGTCGACACCGACGCCAGACCAATGACAGATGGAACTAAACATTACTTTACCCTAATTAGGCCTGTCCTCATCAGCTCGAGTTTGCCAAATAACCCGCTATTTTAACTATCCCGATCGCAAATTAGCCAGTTAATTTGCGTCCCCATCAGCCCCCAGTTGCAATTAGCATAATGATAATATCCCGAGAAATCTTGGTCTTGTTTCCAAAATATCCCAATATTTGGGAAACGGCGGGCTAATATGCGCCTGTCCGAGCTACTTTGTGATGAGCGTATCAGTCTGGTGAAGACACAATTATGAACTTCGGGATAATATCCAGAGTCTGGAAATAGCGGGTTCTTTGTCAAACTCAAGCTGATGAAGACAGGCCTATGACCGAGTAGGATTGGTTTGGAGTCGATGTGGAGTCAGTTTTGCGGTGTGACTGAGGAATAATGACTGGACTTCTGACAACAATCAGGAATGTTTTTGATGGCTTGCGTACTACTAAGCTGTGACGTCATAAAAATCGAATTTTAGAATTTCTCAATTTTTTCTTCATTTTCCGAAAGAGCATCAAAAATTATGTCTAAACGTCGAAAACCAATTTAATACGTTAAGAAAGAAATTTTTTAATTGGATTTTTGATGACGTCACACTTCACCACTCTATTACCTTTAAACATCACTTGACAAACAATTGTTGCAGCAGATAACATGTAAGGACATGTCTAAACTAATACCCACAGATGCCTAAATGTGTTTTTTTAAAGGAGAGACATGCTTATGGTAATAGTTTGCTTTAATCACCCCTGACAAAACCCTTGATGTGATGTTGAGTGTCGCATCAAAAATGAGGGGTGGTATTCCAAAGACTCTTTAAATCTTTGATTTCATTAAAATTACATCCAACTGTCGTAACAACTCTGATTGTGCATTAATTTTGAATCACTGGCACTTACATGTACAGGTGAGTAGCTGCATACGAAGATTAAATCTGTGCAAACACCAATGAGAAATCATAATTGAAATTACAGTCAAACCTGTCTATAGAGACCGCCCAAGGAAACACAGAACATGTTCTTTGCAGACATGTGGTCTTTGTAGACAGGTTCCTTTAGTAAGTGTTTCAATGAGAAACCATTTTCAAGTGAAACAAAAATATGGTCTTTGTAGACAGGTGGTCACTAAAGCAGGTTGAACATACTTCACTGATTCAAAGATAAAGAGAAGTTCTAGAATGCCATTCTCAGACTAGATTTTTAAGGGTTTCCCAAAGATCTTCTCTCTCGGCATACGCTTACAGAACATGGGTAAAATTGAGATTATTTACGATCAAATTTATGCTCAATTCTTCATACTGGCTCTCAGCAGACAATATATTGATACGACCAGTTACGCTAGATTGAGTACAACAATACATGTAGATGTGATGGGAGGAAAAGTTTGAGATGTGAAATACATGTATTGACATAGGTCTGTTAGAGGAAGCTTGATTACAAAACATGACATACAGATGTTTTTGGTGTTTAACTCGGATCCGAGCAGACAACGTCATCAAAGAACCAGGATAAGGCATCTCAAAAGCAGCATTTATCATTTCAGAACTCGTGTGAAGAAGAAAAAAACGAAGTTCCTAAATATCAAAATAATGATGGATGACCGTTGTAAAGAGTTTTTCTCTTTTTTTTTTGGCTAAGTCATATCAAATTTCCTGGAATAATATCTCACAGTTTACATCATGTTATACGAGAGAAATGATTGATGTTAACCAGCTCCTTAATTTCAATGCAAACGAAATTTGGCATCACCCAAGAGGGTATGAAACTAAAATTTAAAAAATCTCCAAAACTTCTTGCTTTCACCTGGGGGGGCGTTTTTCAAAACTTGTCATCAGTGACGAATGACAGTTTTTTTTTATAAGCTACTGAAATCCTTGCTTCTGATTGGTTATCAGCAGATTTGTCACTGATATTTGTCATTTGTCATTGAAAAAACACTTTGTGAAATGGGCCCCTGGAAGACAAACTAGAAACGAAGCTGCTAATTATCGGGAAAAAAATGTTCCTTCCATTTTAGTTGTTGTGAAAAATGGATATTTCAACTTTCTCATGATCTGTAAATTTGTACTCGAGCGGCAAAGGTTTTAGGGGGTCAAGATGAAAGCCAATGATCATTCATGACCACGATTGGTTTCTTGGGAGTTCTGGTGTATGATTCTTATATTTATCATTGTTTACTTTTTATTTGGGAGAGGGGAGTTGTGTGTTCCCTTTCACTTTATCCTTCCATTTTCCAACTGATTTTTTTCTTCTCTGATCTCATTACTGCAAAACCAGGAACTTTCGGCTGCATTAAATGTTCAATAATTTCACAAGTGGTTCAGATTCGCAAAAGTTGTAGCAGCATAATAGATGTATCACAATTGACAACGTATCACATCTTTGCAATAGTTAAAGGCTCATAATAGTGGGTTCTCATGGGGTAATTCGACACCATTTTGTGTTTACCAACTAAGCAGGTGTTGTCAACTTGTCAGTCACCAAGAGTGGACTTTTACAACCGATAGGTCTTGTAATGCACTGTGCCCCTAACCTACCACCATAAGGAATTAATTCCATGATATCAAATTTCCCTCATCCTCAAGATATGAAGGCAAGTAGGAGTATTTCCTGGTGGGACCACAGGTTTGTTGCAAACACAGACACATTCATTGGTAATTCCACCAAACCTAGTGTCAGCAAATTATGATGCAAGACACATGGACACCAACTTCTAGGTGGCTTGAAGTTTCTTGCCATGGAAATAACCATCCGTATACATTGCAAAGTTACCAACACACAAAATGTCCTGGTTTTACTGTAGCATGGACTGGCCATATCCCAAGAGGACAATGCGAAAATATTCTCTGAAATCTAATCTATGTAATGAAGCCACATTTTCCAATCTCTGCTACCAAATTGTGCTTCACAGGTAAATATAAAATCCGGAACCAATTCAAAGTGTTTATATTCACTTGCTGGATATTAGGTAATAGAGGGCCTATAGCAAGGTTGTATGATATGGCAGAATGCCGTAGAATGAGCCGGCTAAATCACATTCAGCAGATTTCCTGCAATGCAATTGTCTTTCCTTTGACTTTTTCTTAAGACACGTCTGCTAAAATATTGCAATATAAATAATGGAACTTCTTCTGAGTATGTAAAGAAAGTGCAAATATATTACCAGTAGTATAAAATCTCTCTGACTCGACTGAAACATTGAAGCACATTATATATATATATATCAAAGACTCCAGCACTGCTTGCCCAAAATACTGTGCTTCTCTCTCCGATATCACTTATACACATTTATATGCTCCGCCTTTAAACCTGGCATAGCATTCTTGTCCCCTCCAGTGCTTTTACTGCCTTGCAAAAGTTCATCCAACAGGCATACAGTATTCCATTAGGAACCTTGCCGGGCGCTCCTTTCTCGTTTGTGATTTTGTTTTCTTCAACCAGCTTAGGTGGTACTGCATTGTTAGGATGGTTGGGCGTGGCAGCTGCTGGTCCTTTCTGTCAGTGGAGAGCAAGTGCATCATTCTCCCTAAGCTACTAAAAAATAGTGAAGATCCTATTGTCTGGGTGGTGCAGGGGGTTGTCCTCTCTTTGTACCTGATTAACACAAATTAAAGAAAAGAGAGAAAAAATTAGAAAGAAGGGTAATTAGTCCCATAAATATATATAGAGAGAGAGAGAGAGAGAGCCAAATCAATTCATATTTTATTGAACTGTGAATAAGAGTCTACTTTTACAATATTAGTTACAGTACAACTGTGTTTTATATGAGTGTCGTACAACCTCTGTTCCATTGTGAAAATGATTCTAACCCAATGATTAAGCACCAAGGGAAATCCCAGTGCTTTTGGCAGCAGTGGCGTAACAACAGTTTTAACATGTGAGCATTTTCACCCTGCAGCATTAGATGCCAATTTATACGAACTTTAAAATCTTGCCTGCAAAGAAAACTGAATTCAATATAAGGAACTTTTTGTTTATTCATTTTCCATGGCATACAAAAAACAGAAAATTGTATTCATTTTCAGCACATTGGCAAACTATTTGGTGTTACGGTACCATGAGTAGTTTGTTATAGAAGGTCATTTCTAAAACCAGAAGCTGACCAGAAAACTTATAAGCTGCAAACGTCAGAAAAGAAAATAACATGTTTTAGAAGTATTAGCCAACCAAAAGTACATCTACAATCAATTCAATTTGTTCAAACCAATTTTAAATTATTATACCACAGGTATAAAACAGAACACAAGCCCTTTTTTTTTTACTGTGAAAAGAAATTCCTAACAAATAGTAAAGTAGTATATATATATATATATATATATATATATATCCTGTAAAAAATTCTTACAATGTCAATATAAAAACTTTGTACCGGTAGTGCAATCTTGATGATGCCTAAGTTCGAACAAGCAGAGTACAAATTTCCATGCAAAAAGGCATCCACATGACATTGTATGTTTCCAGTTTTTCTCAGGCATGAGGCAATATGATTTGCAGAAACAGGAGTAGCTATTTTAGGGGGGACGGTATATACTGAGGATGGTGTTCTTGAAAGCGAACTAACTTTAGTCCATGGTTTAATCCATCGACTAAGTATGAAATGCCAAGTGTCCATATGAATATGTTTTTGAATAATTTAATCTGTAACTAAATTAAACTAAAATGTAATAACATAATTAATAAACAACAATATACCTATGATATAATTATGTTATCATGGTAATTAAGGACATATCAAATTATTCAAAAATATATTCATATGGACAATTGGCATTCCATACTTAGTCGGTGGATTAAACCATGGACTAAAGTTAGTCTGCTTTCCTTAATACCACCTTTAGGCCCAAATTCACAAAGCAGGTTTGTTGACAAACCTAGGTTTATGTACGTCATATGACGCTTTTTAACACGTTTTTTTACAAACCTGGTTGTTAAAACGCGTCATACTGTATGAGGCACAAAAACCTAGGTTTGTCGACAAACCTCCTTTGTGAATTCGGGCCTTAGAGTTTGGTGCAGTTTATACGGTGGAATCTCATGTAAAGAATATAGATTAACAACTTGTGAATTATAAAATGTGGTACAACTTATGTAACTTTCTGCACTTTTTAATCATTTTTCAATATTGTCGAGTTACTATCTTGATATAAAGTCCCAAGAAGATAGAACAAGTTTCAAAGAGCAGAAGTATTTTACATTATGCATAAATTTATGTTATTCATTTTCCCATACACTATACAGGATATGTATTTGAATCTATGAACAAGAATTTCAATACGAAAAAATGAGTATCAATGCAAGGCATGCCATGCCAATCACTTCAAATCATGTAATTCTTGAATAAAAAATAATAAATAATATAAAAAAAACTCTCTTCATCAAGTCCAAATGGTGCATTGAATGCTAATAGGAAAGAATACAGGTAATAAAGAATAATATAACAAATAATAATACATAAGAAAAACAACATTATCATGCAAATTCCATTATAAACTAGTGCATTTCTCGGCAGAAACCCGCACACCGCTCCATTCTACACATGTGGGACTACATGTGCTAGAAGATGGGTAGGAGAGAATAGCTGAATCAAGAATCTTCGAGTCTTCCAACATGCAGGGGGGGGGGGGGGAAATATGACTCAAAGGTCCATTCAGACTCCATTCAGACTCCAGGTGGTTAAATGCTTTGAGAGAAAAAAACAAATGTTGCAAAATAAATTCTGCAAAAGTTAAATAATATTAGGATAATGCACCCATGTTTCTCCATCTTCTGTCATACAGATCTGTACAGAACCATGGGGGCTACGGGTTTTACCCTCAAAAAATATCTCTTGCAATTCTTGTAAATATACAAGTTTTGTCGCAGCATTTTGTATTGAACCCTCCTTTTTAAAGGTATAGACCAGTTGGGAAATCCCCCCCCCCCCTCTCAAAAATTCACGTGAAAGAATATGTTTTAAATACAGTAATACGTGACTGATGATACAAAGTTTGCGGGGAAAACGCCTACTAATTGATATATTTGGTAAATTATTATATCTATCTGGACTGGAAAGATATCCCGTAGTCCCATATACATCTTTCTATGTACAGTGCTTGTAAGTTTACCAAGACTGGGCCAAATTTCTTATCTTTTTAATGATTCCAGAACCTTGCAGTACACACCTTTACTTATATGCTAGATGATCAAACTTTTCTTTTACAATGCATTCGCATGACCAGAACTGGTCTATACCTTTAATAAAATTTATCATGTCATGTCAACAATATAAAATGGAGCTAAACAGTGCACATGCAAAAATGATAGGGGTGGAAATTGGAATGCAAGGGACCTTTAGAAGAAAACAATTGGATGCATAATTGCATATATGCCAAAATCTGTCATGTCGCAGCACTCACCATTGGAATGTGCATTCGCTTGCTCGGATGTAAAGTACACAGTGGAGTCTGGTAGCGAAAAGGGGGGTGGGTGGGGTGCAGAGAGGGTGCAAGAGAGAGAGAGAAAGAGAGAGGGGGTGCATAAAAAGCATGGGGACATCAATTACAGTGAAGTGGTAATGTGAAATAATATTTCGATATGGAAGACTTGACCGCAGTAGTGGCCCCCTGGCCATGGGGCACCAAACTGCTATGTCGGGCAGCTGATTCTTCAAAAAGTATTGAAGAGAAATTGTTGCCCATGTCAGGAACCAAAAATGTAATACATTAAAAGTACATTGTATACAATATTGAAGACCAGAGAGATATTGGAAGAGTAACCCATGCAAGGAGAGAGATAAAAGACTGAGATAGACAGAGATAGAAGAAAGAGAGAAAGAGAGAAAGAGAGAGAGAGAGAGAGAGAGAGATAGAGAGAGAGAAAAGAGAGAGAGAGAAGAGAGAGAAAAGAGAGAGAGAGAGAAAACAAAATAAGAGAGAGAGCAAAAAAAAAAGAGAGAGATAAATTTATAAAGAAAAAATATATATTTGAGTAAATGTCAGTGCAACATAGATGCGCAAAAACAAAATAAGAAACATTACAAAAAATTATCTTGGCAAAGCAAACTCGAGTCCAGACCACCTAAAAATCAAATTAAGGTCACTTTGGCTCATTGATATCAAGCCCTGCAAAATGACACTAAAATACCCCCCCAAAATAAGGGGAAAAAATACATACAAATCATTCAAATGTAATACATATGCAATTAATGTATGTATAATGACAAAAATATATATCTATGAGGGGAAAAAATCAGGGAAAAAATACATACCGGTACATACAAATCATACAAATGCAATTAATATATGCGTTTCTTTTTTCTTTCTTTTTTTTGTGATTGAAAACAAATGTGTTTATATAACTCACATCTCCAGTAAAACTGATTTTCTACCACGTTGGTAGAGCCATACCTGCGTACGTTAAACATTCAGGACTTGTAATTTTCACATTCTGTTTTTATCATCGAGAGTAGGAGAGGAACTGTGGTAAATGTATTCAGGATCTTAAAAAACACACCACAAGATGTCTTAAGACGAAACCTTACAAATTGCGTTATTTATCTGTCTCTGCAAATGAATCCAATGTATGCATTATAAAACCAGGAGCAGGAAAACATATTACACAGAGGCATACAACAGTTTTGCTCTGGAAAGGTCTCGAAGACACCAGAAAGATATATAACAGGGGCAACATGGTAAAGCAAAGGCTTCAAAGAAGTAATAAAATCTCACCTACACAAAACAATTTTCGACCGAAATCAGTTATTCATACAATAAGATTACCAGTTCAATGAAAGGTCTTGGACAATAGAGTGATTCCCATCAAAATGCTTAAAAACGGGACAAATATTGGAAGTTACTGTGTGAGTTTCCTCATTTATGATCACACATATTTTATGAAAACAAAGGAGGAATAAGGAAAAGGGGGAGAAGGCTTTAAAAAAAGGAGGAATTATAAAAAGGACGGAAATAAATACATGCAGACATACATCATTGTATGACCTTTTTCTAATGATACGTTGTATGACCTTTTTCTAATAATGCGTTGGATGCAATTAGCACTAAGCAGGAAATAGAGGCTTTAAAAGAAATCTTCTGCCAAAGGGGGTTTAAAAACACAAAGGTTCTGATAATGTAACAGTTCAGAAATGATTGAAAAATCAATCTGAAAATGCTTATTTTACATTTAAAATTATACAAAACAATGTACCACTTTTCAGGAAGGGGGGTATGCGGTTACCTTGTATCACAGATTTTGCTTATAGTGTATCCCCACTCCTCATATAGTCTAATGTTCTTTCAAGAGAGGTTTTACAATCAATCTTAAAGGGGAAAGTTCACAGTATTATACAAATAAATGACATTGACTCAGGGGGCTTTTCTTTGAGTGAACTACATGTATAAACATTGAATATGAATTATTTACCGGTAGTTAAAACGTTAAAACGTGGCCATTATGGGATTTGGTTAACAATAGGACATTTAAGATGTTTTTTTTTAATTGAAAAATCAAGAAAATTTCAAACAAATGCAACATACATGTAGCTTCTCAATGAGATAACTACAATGTCCAATATTAGTCCAATGTGTTACATTAGCCACCTCGCTCTGAAGATCACCTATCGCCTACAATCATTTCCATCATGGACCCTTATAGAAGGGCCACCTGCCTACAGTGGCCAATGTTTGTCCGTTCCCTTCAAGTGGAGTTATAGACAGGTTTAAATGTATACTAATTGAGCATCTAACAAGCTATTCAATACTCATTCAATGACATACAGTATGTGAATACAGTTCAAACTGAATTCACAGCTCGACAGAATTTCACGACGCCTTTGAGGCTACACGCTGATGACACATCTGTGAACCGTTTTAATACCATAACAAAGAAATGAAAATAATGGTGTAGAGGCAATGAGGAAGTGAGAGCACGAATGCATCTTCGTATTTAACTCCATTGCAGTGTGATGAAGTACACTGCACATACAAGTAGAGTCCTTAACTGTATTTCTTTTAAAAGTGATCTTTGACCAGATCCATATTAAAAGAAAGAATGTTTTCTTTGAACACATGACATTGCATGTAATCTGTCATGATCAGGATACGATCGGCTCGCAATGATGAAATACTCTTCAGTGAAGTGTACATAAATTGTTTATCTATATTTATTAATGTGTCTTTGCATTTAACTCCATTGCAGTATGAAGTACACTGTACATACAAGTAGAGTCCTTAACTGTATTTCTTTTAAAAGTGATCTTTGACCAGATGCATATATTAAAAGAAAGAATGTTTTCTTTGATCACACAACATTGCATGTGATCTGTCATGATCAGGATACGATTGGCTCGCAATGATGAAATACTCTTCAGTGAAGTGTACATAAATTGTTTATCTATATTTATTAATGTGTCTTTGCATTTAACTCCATTGCAGTATGAAGTACACTGCACATACAAGTAGAGTCCTTAACTGTATTTCTTTTAAAAGTGATCTTTGACCAGATCCATATTAAAAGAAAGAATGTTTTCTTTGAACACATGACATTGCATGTAATCTGTTGTGATCAGGATACGATCGGGTCGCAATGATGAAATACTCTTCAGTGAAGTGTATTTACAAATTGTTTATCTATATTTGTAGACACACTTAATATTTAATAGGAGTGTGTTATATGCTTAATATCATTTGTTCAGAGGCAAAAGAGCGTTAAATAATCTTGTTTTACGGAGGTTAAACTCCCTTCAAGCTCCAAACAAATAGTATAAATATACTACTTTGCGGTTTGAAATGATGCTGTAGCATTTATTAAGTGATGGGTGTGGTGTCTCAAATCTTGAGAATATCTTCACATGATGATGATTTAATTTACCGGTAACAAACAAGGATTATATATCATAAAAATTATAATGTGATGCAGTCGCACCTACACAGGTCTAACAAGCATTGCTTCCAATTAGGTTAGTTTTTCATTTCCTGTTACCAAATAATTTTGCATTATAAGACTAAAAACGAGTGTCAAAAATATATTTCAATGCTAATTTTCTGTTCTATCACTATGTTTATTATTGTGATTATCTTGTTATTGTTTATATTATGTGAAAAGAAATTAAATAAATTTGCTCTATATAGAGTGACTACTACTACTACTATACTAAAGGGGATGCTTTGCTGATTTTGATGACTAAGACTATACAGTGTGCAGTGTCATTGTTAGTCTGATTCAATTTATATAGCCTTTCCTTCCCAAGAATTCATCTTCAATAAAAATGGTGAAATAAAAAAAAAGATAGCCCTGGGATATCGTTATACTTTTGCCCTGAATTTTAGGGGGGGGAGAGATGTCCTTTTCTAAAAATAGATGGACATTTGGACTTCCATATATCAATGGACTATTACAATTAAAGGGAGATGGTCATCAGTTCCCATGTGCAGAAGAGTCTTTAAGCCAAGTTTAACTATTACATGAACCTCTGCCATGCAAACAAGACCCAACACTAGACTGACAACGCAACGTATAAAACAGACCGTACAAAAAACACATAACTGGGAATGGCAAAAGAATTGGCTCCGCGTGGAGACGTTTCTACACAATGACCTAGGTCTGAGACTACTTTGAGGCTACGAGCCTCCGTCTCTACCCTCCTCATGAACTGCTATACTTACTTTGTCTATTTGGTTGTTTGCTTGGATACGTCTTTTGTAACTTCTTCATAGGTGGAGGAGTTGGGAAGCGTGAGGATGAGTTAAACCGGAACCGACTCTCAAAATCATCTGGGGGAGAGGAGAGAAGAAAAAAGTAAAGATGAAATTGATATTAAGAACGTCTAGAAGAATTGAACCTACGTGTACAGCATTCTTATGATTTTTGTAATTAACTTCCAGGCAGGCACCTAAATTACATTGTATCAAACATTTCACTATGTATACGTGTATGTACATGTACTGTACCAAGTTTGTGATTGTAATACACTTTCATTTAGGCGTATTAATACTGTACGTGCCATTGTTACAATCGACCCTGAAAAAAAGATACGCTGGACAGGTATAGCCATAAATGTATTGATCCATGCCACTCCACTGCCTGCCATTCGTTACTTGGAAAGATACAAATTATTTTTTTGCAGCTCTATTTGTTTTTCCTTCTATGATAACATTTTATGGATTGAAAACAATACAGAACTCTACATGAATATGTACAGAGTCAAGCCTATAATGGTAAACGTGTTTATATAATATTGGATGGCTTTAAGTGTGATACAAGAATATATTGTCATAACGAAGCCATACAATATTATTATTATTATCTATATCAGGCTCCGTTGTCAGAAGGGACACCAGTTTTGGACATGGGGGGGGGGGGGGGGCACAGTGACCAGGTACCAGCGAAAGTGTTGTTGATCAATATGATACAAAGACAAAAGTATCATGGAATCAATTTTGTTAAAACAATTCCTGTACTTGGCACTATGACACTCATCCAAACTCTCTCATTCTTTCTATTTTTCTTATGCGCCTCGGAATAGCATTGTCTAGATAGACGGCGCTATATAAATGCCTATTATTATTATTATACACATGTCCATGTTTTTATGCATAAACAGTTCTGCGATCCTTAAATATTTCCACTGATCCAAGCTTTAAAGAAGGCTTTCAAATTGATGTAATCATCATCAGAAATATAGTCTTTGATGCAGACAATAATCCAACGTACATGTACATGTACAATGTATGGAACAAAACACCTTGAATTTTCAAAATGTATTCATTTCTGGCAGTCTAACAAAAAGGGGGATTACAAATTCATCACAATGGATTGAGTCAACTTGTGGGATAAAAAAAAGGGTTACAAAAGTGATACAGATGGAATGACTCATTAATTTGATTGTTCATGTTCATTTACATAATAAGTGTTTCCTTGAGGTATAGTGATTCTGTACAATGTATGTAAAGTGGCAAAGACATGTACAGCTGTGGTTGATATCTGTTTGATAACCTGTCATGTTCACAGTGTGCATGTACCGGTACAGTGTATGTCTGATGCCACTTAAAGAGAAGGTTGAGTTCTGGGAAGAGGTAAAAAATAATTTGTGAGCGTTATCATTGTATATGTGTGGAAGAGCATCGGATAAAAAATTATGGCTCTTCAAATGCCTTTATATTCTAAATATGGCATGTAACATCATAAAAATTGGGACAGATTTTTCTGCCACATGTTCGTGTAGTCCCATATACATCATTCTGTGTACAGTGCTTATTACTTTAACAAGACTGGGCTGAATTTCTTATCATTTCTAATGACTCCAAAACCCTGCAGTACAACGTTTCTTTCACACTGCAATCGCATGACCAGAACTCAACTTCATCTTTAAATGCAGTCATGTGGCTTTTAATAGTCTTGAGGTAAAATCTATGACAAAATCTACCTTCATGAATATTATGGCCAGATTTAAGAAAAGATTTAAGAAAAGAGGTAATTAAATTATTAAGTCAGTCTAGAGGTGCGACTGGGCTAATTACTTTCAATGGTCAATCGAAATTGTACGATTACTCTGCAAGTCCATAACCAAGGAGATTCCCACCTACAATTAATTATCACTAATTAGTGCAAACATCCTGCAGATTCTTCAGAAGGCCTGTCCTTATCAGCTCAAGATTGCCAAATAGCTCGCTATTTCTGATTTGGGAAATAAGCCCGAAGTTACAAACCGCGTCTTCATCAGCTCGAGACTTGACCTTGAAACTCGAACTTGAGATATTTTGCTCAGCGTTCGCGCATGGTGCAAGTCTTTGGGCTGGTGAGGGTGCACCAGTCAAATAGCTGGATATTTCGCAAACTAGCCCAAGATATCTTGGGATGATTATCTCGACCAAATATCCCGATAATTACAACTTTGGGCTGATGAAGACGCAAATTAACTGGATAATTTGCGATCAAGATAGTTCAAATAGTGGAATATTTTGCTAACTAGCCCAAGATATCTTGGGGATGATTATCTCGACCAAATATCCCGCTAATTGCAACTTCGGGCTGATCAGTACGCAATATAGCGGGATAGTTCAAACAGCTGGATATTTGGCAATCTCTAGCTGATGAAGACAGGCCTAGAGTGTACAATTGAATTATGCAACTGAAGACTTGGGGTCTTTGACGGCAGATGTTCCAAGCTGCCGAATACATGGCAACAACATATTTCTATTTCTCTTTTTAATGTATTTTTGTTTAATGCGCCAAATATGATACTGCAATTTCAGTCCCTAAAAATGAATTTCAATTAATTTTTTCTGGTTCCTTCAAAAGGCACAAAACTTGAAAAGCAAAGTCAAAACATTTTGGGGGAATCACCTTTTATGAAACTCATGTATTGGCAATTCCAGTTTCCCAGGGTATGTTTACTTTCTACTGACACACACAAGAGATATTGTAAAGAACAAAGAACAGTCGATTTTGGATTGCACTTGTCAACACAGCTAGTTTTAGGAACATTAGGTTTCAACAATATCTCAGAGTCTAAAGTTCACAATCATTTCATACTACATGTATGCAAATATTTGAAGTCCGTGAAATTATGCAATGCCCCCCCCCCCCTTCTTATCACAGCGACTTGGGATATATCCATCAAACTTGTACCAAAGTAGTGGCACCTACAGCATTGACATAGAATACTACAAAAAGCTCAAAGTTGCAAGATGGCAAATCATTAGGAATATCACAATCATAGTTCCATTTTATGAAGTATACATTGATATTGATGGTTGTTACTTTTACTAAAAGTCATTTTAAAGTTTGTTTTCACCAGTCAGAAGATAGTTCATGGTCATTGTTTATATTCAATACACTATTAAAGAATATTCAAAGAGGGATTCCAAATTATTTTCAATGAACAAAACTACAAGCATTCAAACATTCAAAGAGAGATTCCAAACCACTTCCAATAAACAAAACCAAGCATTCAAACCTGCTAATGTTCTGCAGCAAAACGTAGCAATCTCTCAGGACAAAATCATGAATCCAGTTGTATCTGTATGCTGTAGACAGCTGTATGCTTTTAAACATAACTTTTCATAACAAAACAAGAGAGGAATCCAGAGCCCATATCTTAAATTTGAAGGGAAGAAAGAGGGATTCTTTCCTCCAATATACAGGCCTAGAGAACTGTGTATGCCATACAAAGAAGTCAAAAAAAGAGGAAAAAAAGAGGAAAGTAAGATCCATGAAATGTACAGTCAAACCTGCTTTAGTGACCACCTCTCTACAAAGACCACCTGTCTGCAACAAGCACATTTTTTGTTTCCCTTGAAAATGGTTTCTTACTGAAACATGTACTAAAGGAACCTGTCTACAAAGACCACCTGTCTACAACAAGCATATTTTTTTGTTTCCCTTAATCGGTCGCTGTAGACAAGTTTGACTGTAATTTGAAAGTATAAAAATAAGTAGAAATCACTCCTTCAATGGACAAGGTTGGCAGAGCTCTACATTCAATGTCTGACAGGGGAAAATTACACGGGGGCTCGGAGCAAATTAGCCCCCAAAACGCCCAAAAGAGCCCCCGAAAGTAAAAAAAGAGCCCCCCCCCCCCCCAAAATTTGCATAGAGTTCAATGCAAAACAAATTAAAGAGCGTTATTTTCATGCAAGCTAGCTTGAAAAGTAGCCCCCGAAATTGTTTTATTAATTTTTTCCCTGATGTCTGACCTACCTGAGCTGCCTGTAGAAGTAGCCTGGCCAGCACCGTACACGTTGTACCCGTTATACCCGTTGAAACCCCATCGTCGATTCCCACTCGCCATCGCTTTCACCTCCTTCAAGCTCTAGATTGCAGAATCCAAACAACCAAAACCACCCCCTTGTCCCGTTCAGAGTTCAGACAACAAGAATAATCCTCCTCTTCTAGTATTAAAAAATCCAACAATTCCTAAAACTTCAGAAGGCAGAGTCAGTACAGGTTACACTGTATGGTACAGAGGATCAGCAGGTTTTCCTTGGGCTCAAAAGAGAACCTTGCATACATACAGTAGTAGCGTACACAACAACAAGAAGCTACAAGAAGACAGAAAGAATAATCCTCCTCTTCTAGAAAAATCCAACGATTTCTAGAACTTTGGAAGGCAGAGTCTGTACATGTACACCTCCCAGGCTTTGGTACAGAGGAGTTCCTTGTGAGAGAATCTTGTTCAGACCACGAGAACAATCCTCCTCTTCTATTAAAAATCCTAGAACTTTCAAAGTCAGAGTCAGTACATGTACACTCCCCAGGCTATGGTACAGAGGATCAGACGCTTTCCTTGTGAGAGAGAACCTTGCATAAGTAGCGTATACAACAATAATTGTTCTTGTTCAGACCACAAGAATAATCCTCCTCTCCTAGTAAAATTCCAACAGTTCCCAGAACTTTGGAAGGCAGAGTCAGTACATGTACACCTCCCAGGCTATGGTACAGAGGATCAGAGGCTTTCCTTGTGAGAAAGAACCTTGCATAAGTAGCGTACACAACAACAAGCTACAAAATGCACTTCTGCAACGCTGTCTGATCTTGCAGTGTGTGATTAGCGAGAGCTTCCGAGACCCTACACGTCCAATCAAACTGAGCTGACCTCACAGGAAGCGCAAGGGGGACAGCATGACGTGTAGCTGGGGCGACTCAACGGTTTGCGACCTACGCAGCTACGCAGCAATGGATGAGGGGAGTCGTGCCAGCTGACAATACTGTTTATAACTGACAGCTGCTAATTAGGTGGTGTTAAACGGTGCCACACAACAAGTGTCTCTAT